GCATTGAATGAACTGAAAATATGATACAGTTCTGATAAAGTATCCTTTTGTTGGGATTATTTCTCTTCATGGGTGACGACATCATTAGTTACTGTGAGAGAGAAAGCCATTTCCCATGAAGGCTGCTGAACTGAGGCAGAGCTTCATTTCCAGCCCACACATGTTGTCACCAGCAGCTCTGGCATCATTTGTTCTCTATGATGTAATCAAGATGCACTGAAAGCAATAGCGTTCACTCCGCAACTGGCGGCGGGCAGACAGTAACTCTACAGAAAGGAGCAATGAGCTTTAGTGCTCCAAGATGTCATGTTAGACAAGGAACAAGCGAGGAGGAGGGGAAATGAAAACGCGGAAATTGAAGACAGGCAGGATAAAGCAGGAGTCATTTATCAGTACATAAACGTATGCGAGTGCTGGTATAGGATATGTGTTGGATATGGAGGGAGTGGGGCTAGTTTAAAGGGTTAGTTCACCCAAAAATGAAAATTAGCCCATTATTTACTCACCCTCAAGCCATCCTAGGTGTATGTGACTTCCTTCTTTCAGATGAATCTAATCGGAGTTATATAAAAAATTGACTTTGATCTTCCAAGCTGTTTAATGGCAGTCAGCGGGTGTTGCAGTTCATCAGTCCAAAAGAAGTGAAATAAAGTGCATCCATCCATGATAAAAAAGTGCCTCACATGGCTCACATGGGGGTGAATAAAGGCCTCCTGTAGCGAATCGATGCGTTTTTGTAAGAAAAATATCCATATTCAAAACGTAATAATCACTTTAATCTAGCTTGCGCCAACAGTTGTACACGGAAGCAGCTCTGGGAGGATTATGTAAGATGTCGGAGTTGCGCATGCGCCGGTGAGTCTCGCGAAAACCAATGTTTGTTTACAGGAGTAAAGGAAGCAAAGTTTCCTTAATTTAGCAAAGGAAAACTAGTCTCCTCTTGGCTTATATCGAAATCCTCCAACATTCTTCTTTACAAATCCTCGGTTTGTACTTCTAATTCGTGACCGTTGTTTTGTTTTGATCTCTCCCTTGCACTTCTGCGTTTGTCACTTCTGAGCGGCGCATGCGCAACGCCGACGTCCTACGTCATCCGTCATTAATGCACATATTAATTAAACCTACAATATTAAAGTCAGTTTGTAAGCCCAAGCTATTGTACAGACTTTAAAAAGACTTGGAATAAAGTGCACACATCTTGTGGACAACTTTTATGGTCCTTTTAAATCAGATTAATCACCATTTGCTTCTGTGGATATTTCCACATATGGAAAATAGCAGCATGAACATTCTTCAAACTTTCTCCCTTTGTGCTCCACTGAAAACAAGAAAGTCTAAAACATCTGGAACAAAAGGTGGATGAGTAAATGATAAGAGAACTTTCATTTTGGGGTGAAAGAAAGAAAGAAAGAATCATGGCTTTACTCAATGTTTGTCTTGAATAAAAGTGTTTTAATAGCCATTACACAGGGCAAACAATCATGATTCATGTCATGTTGTGGCATGAATGTCTTGTAGTGCCCTAGGACAAGGATTTAACAGATGGAAACAGCTAAGGAAATGTGTCATATACAAAAGCTGACAAGACAGCAGATTGTCTAGGGAGAGCCTCAAGGGAGCTTCATGTAACGTTCACACACACAAACACATTTCGGACATGTGGGGCTCTGTTGGGAACCAGTGCTTGCTAATGAATTGAGTGTGCGAGAAAACATGTCACACACACACACACACACACAATTCCCACAAAGACATAACAGAAGCAATTCTGTCTACCTTCGGAGGAGGGTCTCAGTGCTCACTTCCTGTCTGGAAGCATGACATTTTCCATCGTATGACCCCCTATTTTTACTTAGTCCTACTTCAAATTCTCAGCTGACTAATGATGACAAACCTGCACTTCTTTTCCGAAGCGGTTGTGAGTACACTCTTTATCATCCTACCGATGCATGTAAAACTTGTCCCAGATTAGAGTAAAAGCCAGTAAGAACCTTGTCTTGTGCATGAAGGAGTTCTTTGCACTTTGTCTAAATACAGCCAAGCTTCCAGTCAAAGAGAGGAAGTCAGACCGTTCCTGGGGATTAAAACAAGGGCATGTGGGTTCACATTTCCCCTCCTGCTTTTCTCTCTCTCTCTTTCAAAAGGAAAGCATACTCAGCTGTTTGACAAACATTACTAATGAGACTGAACAACTGCCTTTCTTTTTTTACTCTCTTTCCAGAGTATGTTGAAGCCTGTGGGATATAGGGCCATGCATATTCCGAAGGCTCACTCTGTCTCTCTCTCTCTCTCTCTAGAGAGAGAGAGAGAGAGAGAACGTAGTGAATCTATGGAAAAGCAAATGACTCCAGTGCAAGTTATGGGGGAGGATGCTGCACTAATGCTGATCTGAGAACAGTTCTGTAGCTCTCGTGGTAAGAGGATTGAGACAATGGGCCCATGTTAAACAAGCTGTTTAAAACAAAAAGACACAACTACTGATGAATGTCAAGGCTGTTAAAATGTACCATCATTTAAAATGGCAGAACTTTTGGTTGACTAAGATTTAGCACTAGAAATAGGTCACTAATCAATTGGTAACATTAACCATCTGGACTCTTTGTACAGTAGGTCAGATATATTTGCTTCCCTTGAAACTCAAGATGCTTTTGGATCATTCTCAACATTTATGGAGTAACACAAGGGAAGGACACACAAAGATTTCACTTTTTAAATAAATGTGCATTTAAATAGTTATATTAATTATTTAATTATTAATGAAAAAGTTGCATTCAATTAGAAAAATACAAAATGGACTGGACTTTTGTGTACATAACTATAGGGTGAAATCTGGAAAAAAAAATGGGTCAGGTTTTCATTATATTCCAGAAAATGGCCTAAATTTACTCTATATAATTTATGTAGAACTAGTCTTTAGGTAATCTATATGATCTAGCATATGCTTTCAAGAAGTGGTAGCATAAATATTTAAAACAAACTGCAGAGTCCATCTTTTGCAGGAAATACATAAGCTTCTGTTCCAGCCATATATGGCCACTTCTTCAGGCCACTAAACCCCGAATCTGTCATTGAAGTTGTGCCCTAAATTGCTAGAAAAGGGGGTGTGACAGAAAGTCTAATAACTTGTGACGACAGATCAACATTTCTTCATGTTGACAGAAACAATAAAAGTTATATTCGTTCTTATGTTTTTTCCATTTTATAGTGCCACCAAGTTGTAGAGATGCGCCATTTTTTTTATTTAACCAAGGATTAAGCTCATACACATATGTACCTATTTTGGTGAAGATATCTCATTCCGTTCAAAAGTTACAGCCATTTTAGTCAAATTGGCCCGCCACTTATGAACGTTTTGGCGCCCCTTTGCGACCGTGAGTTGAAAGCTCAACCTTTTTTTGATAATTGTTCATAAACACTGTCCATAGAGTATTTCTGCCCTGGTTTGGTTCTGATCGGGCAAAAAACCTTGGACTAGTTACTCGACAGAAGTTACTCGATATGAGAAGATCTATCAAATGATATGCATATTCTGTTGCTGTGTGAACAATCGCGCAATATACAATCGTTTTTGCACTTGAAAAATGCAATTTCGCCCCCCAGTGGCCGATTTCTTTCAAAATTCTTACAGACCTTTAGGGCCATGTGTCGAACATGCCCACCGAGTTTCGTTCCGATCGACCTCCGTTAACCCTGTCAAATAGGGGCTTAAAAGGTTTTGGCCAATGGCGGCCATGTTTTTTGAGATACGCGAATGTCCTCATAGTCACTTGTGCCGCTTTGGACCATGACACTGCATACCAATTTTCAAGTCGATCGGACCAACGGTTGTGCAGTTATCATCATTTTTATGTTTTTTCCGTCTTATAGCGCCACCAAGTTGTAGAGATGCGCCATTTTTTTTCATTTGTTCAAAGATTGAGCTTGTACACGTCTACCGAGTTTGGTGAAGATATCTTATTCCGTTCAAGAGTTATAGCTAAAATAACATTTGGCTAATGTTAGCATAGACGTTTCTTTGCATGCTGTTGCGCACTAAAGTCGAAACTTCAACTTTTTTTGATAATTATTGATATTCAGTGTCCAGAGAATATTTCTGGAGTGGTTTAGTTCCGATCGGGCGAAAAACCTAGGACTAGTTCGCAAAAGTAGGTTTTGGATATAACTCAATTTTGTGGAAAAACGGAGCGTCGTAGAGCAAAAAAGTGCGCAAATCACTTTTGTTTGTACTGACCCAAGAATAGCAACGATGTATAGTTTTTGAGTCTACGACAAACGGTGTACGATGTACGGCCAAAAATGTCAGAATTTTTATTTTTTTGCGCTGTAGTGCCCCCTATTGGCCGATTGGGCTGAGACTTTGATAGGTTCTCCCCAAATTGAGCTCTATCATTTGGCCAAGTTTCAAGTCTCTAGGCCTTACGGTTTGGTCTGCACGATCAGTTTTAGGGGAGAAGAAGAATAAAAAAAACAAAAAAAAATTCCTAACAATTACAATAGGGTTTCAGCACTTCGTGCTTGAACCCCTAATAATTGTACGTTTTCACAAATTATGATCAAGGTATTGTTATTGTCCTGGTTATGCAACTGACATTACCTGCAGACATGTTCTAATTTCATTTGAAAAAAGTCATAAGAAATCGAAATCTTCTTTAATGAACTCTAATTAACTTGCCAAATGAAGTGAATATAATTGAGTAGGCATATGCACATGCAGGTGTTCAATCTGAGGTCGTTCTCTGTACTTTATTATTATTTATTTGTTTTTTCTTAAACGGACCTCTGTGGTTTATGTGTATTATTCTCCAATAAAAATACAACTCTCTTGACTCATCTCGGCTAATGATAAAAAAAAACACTTTTTATAGGACAACGCAGAACCAGCTCAAAACGCATTTGTTCATAGCGTTGCAGAAATGTCCTTTATCGTGATTCAGACGCGTCTCTCTGTATCTCAGCATCAGGTTCGAGAAGGACGCAAGGTGAATAGGTAGCCAACTCACGTAATGTTTGGATGGATTCCTCCTCTTCTCCACATCCACCACTTTTACATCCAAAACTGTCCGAAACTGCATTGTGCAAACAGAGGCTTCAGACAGCCACAGAATGAAATGGGACAGTCACGAAGACGTTTGCACGAATAATATCGATGGTCCTCTTCTCAATGAAAGCAAACGACTGTTGCCCCCCGGCCCGTCCGTTTATTCCCCCTTGACGTAATGTATGAAGATCGAGTAATAAATGATGCAAAACTTATATCCGTCTGCAGGAAACGAACATTGCCGTATCCATCTCTCATAACGCAGAGCCGATTCTCGAACCGCCGCGTTCCAGCTGGATTCGAATCAAGACGCGTTCTACGGAGTCATTCTGGAATCCGGATCGGCGCGTCCTTTGTGTGGACTACAGTAGAGTAGCTGAAGTCTGGGGGTTCTCCTTAAACGTGAGCGGCGCAGGAAGCCATTCGGCAGGAAGCGTGCGCACACACTGGGAATGGGATATTTGGGCAATGGGGCCGGGCTTCTTGACAAGGGCTCTGTTGCAGTTTAAGAGCCTCTACAGGCAATAGAGACAATGGCTGGATTTTACAGACCAGGCATTGTTTGTCTGTTTGCTTCAGCTTGTTAAAAGGCCAATTGTGAGAGAAACGCATGCAGTAGCGTATCTGGACTGCACTAAAACCATGTCACACACCAGAAATGAACTGTCATTTGAAAAACGTTCCATAAATAAAAATGCTAAATATGCATAGTCCATATACGCATTCAAACTATTTCATAAACGACTGCTGCGCATCTATTCCATAATCTAAGAATATCACAGACAGTGCGAGACGTGATTTATGTTACTCGTGTATTGCCATTGAGCATACAGAGACCTGAACGCGCACAGATACAGATGTGCTCATGGACAGTCACGTATCTATTTGCTCACAGGGACCTCCTCAGGCCATTGAGTGTAACTACAGTTTCAAACGACCCATTCAGCTCACCCACTATAAAACTCCAGGGCACTCTTTCCCATATAATGGAAGTGAAAGGGAACTGGTTCCATTAAACTCCAATTATTATTATAAAATATTTTTAACATGGCTGTAACATTTGGTTTAAACAGTACAAATACTCAGTTCTCAAAAGTGTATGTTTAGTCTATTAAAGAGATAATTCTGGCATTAAAGGGGTCATATGATGCCATTTCAAGTTTTCCTTTCTCTTTGGAGTGTTACAAGCTCTTGGTGCATAAAGAAGATCTGTAAAGTTGCAAAGACTAAAGTCTCAAATCCAAAGAGATATTCTTTATAAAAGTTAAGAGTCAGCCACACCTACCTAAGACGGCTCGTTCTAACACGCCCCCACATATCTAGGTCACTATGTGGAAATATTAGCATAATGCAGCCCAAATGTGCATGCAAAGAAAGAAGGCGTGGTTTCAGGAGACGCTGTGTTTCAGTGCGAAAGCAAAAGCACTTTATTTGGCCTTCCGAAAGTAGATGCAATTAGGAATCATTGGTTAAGATTTATTTACAACAGAACAGCACAACCCAGATGTTCGAATTTGTGCAACCCATTTTATGGACGACAGTTTTTTTTAACCTAGAAGAGTACAAGGCAGGCTGTGCACAAAGGCTATTTCTAAAGATTTTTTTTTTAAAAAGGGTCAATTCCGACTTTGCTATGACAAAAATAAAGATATTAAAAAGATAAATAATGGATGAAATTGATTTTAATGATTTAAACAAAACTGGATTCTGTAACTTGTTAACATTATGTCTTCATGATTGTTTTTAACACCCTTATTATATTTTATGGAATTAAAACACAATGCTACAAAACAGTGTAGTGCGCTTCTGTTGTGCTTATTATGTCACTATTGCATTCTAAGAATGTCAGGGCAACCTCCAGCACCTCTCGACTCAGATTTTGGCTGTAGCGCTGCCTCAGGCTGGACAATATATGCAGGACATGGCATCCTTTTTCAGCATCTGCCAAAAAAAAACAACAGCATATGAGGAAGGTCCTCTACTCACATTCCCTGCTGCCATCGAACAGCACAACACATCCCCCCTGCCGTGCCCACCATAAGTTATTCCTGGCTCTTACATTCTGTTATACTTCAGCCAAGAGTAGTGACATTGAACAAGGACAGGAAGTGTACAAGGAAGTGTTGCGCATTCATCTTTTGTGTATATAAATGTTGCATATATAATGTCTATCTATCTCTCTATCTGAGTATAATGGATGTCAAGGTCATGCTCAGTACCTGTTCAGCTGAAGAACTCTGAATCAGTGGATGTAAGAGGAACTCAACATCATAAGGACGAAACCTGGCCACCTCTTTCTCCAACAGGAACTCCTTAAGGGCGAGAACTGACCGAGACAGCAAACAGTGGAAATGTGAGGAACCACCTGCTCTGTAAATAAAAATAAGTTATAAGTACATTTACTATATATATATTATCCTACTGCAGTGGAAGATCTAAGATATAAATGATGTCATGTAAAATAACAGATATCACAATCGTTCTGTGTGACTCACTCTGTGCCGCCCAGGTCATCTCTCGGCAATGCGTCACCTCAACAATGAATCACATTTGTGTCATGAATCATTCAAAACTACCAATTCAGCCTCCCAAAAAAACTTTGAACAAATAAAGAACATTTAAATAAAATGCAAATTCCATGCACATTCTCATTTGACTACTAAGGAAGATATCGTTAGGCTTCTCATTAGTATACTTCTCCTCACCATATGCTGCCGTCCTTGAATTTCCAGACTTACAGCATCTCATAAAAGTGCTACAGACGATCACTCCCTGCTGCCATCAAACAGCACAACACATCCTCCCTACTGTGCCCACCATAAGTTATTCCTGGCTCTTATATTCTGTTATACTTCAGCCAAGAGTAGTGACATTGAACAAGGACAGTTTACTTTGGAAGTGTTGCGCATTCATCTTTTGTGTATATAAATGTTGCATATATAAGGTCTATCTATCTCTCTATCTGAGTATAATGGATGTCAAGGTCATGCTCAGTACCTGTTCAGCTGAAGAACTCTGAATCAGTGGATGTAAGAGGAACTCAACATCATAAGGACGAAACCTGGCCACCTCTTTCTCCAAGAGGAACTCCTTAAGGGCGAGAACTGACCGAGACAGCAAACAGTGGAAATGTGAGGAACCACCTGCTCTGTAAATAAAAATAAGTTATAAGTACATTTACTATATATATATTATCTTACTGCAGTGTAAGATATAAATGATGTCATGTAAAATAACAGATATCACAATCGTTCTGTGTGACTCACTCTGTGCCGCCCAGGTCATCTCTCGGCATCTGGAACAGCTGATCATAGCACTTTCTGTACAGCTGAGGCATTTCCAGCATACGCGAGATCTGCACTGCCATCAAAGGGTCATTTACTTTATCTACACACACACAGAGTGATGATTACAGGAAAATAATTATAACTGAATCCATGTGTTTTACAAACAAGCTCAATCTAACAGATTAAACAAACTAATTATATGTCTGAATAGAATCTAAAAAATATTTTCCCTCACAGAAGGAGGTGGCCCTGATCTCCCTTGCATCCCTGGAGGTTTTGAGGGTTCCTCGTACCCTCAGCAGGTCTCCGATCTCCAGCACAGTGCTCTTCCGTTCAGCCTCCTTCAGCCGTTTGAGTTCATCTTCAATGTTAAATCCTCTGGAGGATCCGCTAGGATCTCTGCCTACATTAACATTAGTGCTGGATTAGTACTTTTAGTGCAGGGGTGCCCAAACTCAGTCCTGGAGGGCCGGTGTCCTGCAGAGTTTAGCTCCAACTTGCCTTAACACACCTGCCGGGAAGTTCCTAGTATGCCTAGTAAGAGCTTGATTAGCTGGTTCAGGTGTGTTTAATTAGGGTTGGAGCTAAACTCTGCAGGACACCGGCCCTCCAGGACCGAGTTTGGGCACCCCTGTTTTAGTGGATTCATGTCCATTACACATCATATTTTCTATAACATCTACAGCTGGATCGCTTTCACTTTAAAGAAAATGTTCTTAAAAAAAAAAAAAAAGAGCTGTTTGTTTATTTGTTTGTTTATGCATACATGCTGATTAAATATTTGCAGCAATTAAAAAAATAATAATAAAATAAAATTCTCCAATCTTTTAAATCACCATTTTAAAAATCCTTGATATTTCCAGGACCATTTGAACCCTATATAGCCTATAGTTTTGATTATATATAATGTGATTTTGATTGAAAACTAACTACCATTCAAACGTTTGGAGTCAGCAATTGTTTTTGATAGAACATTAATACTTTTATTCCACAAGTATGCATTAAAATGATCAAAAGTGACAGTAATGACAATTTTACAATGTTAGAAAAAATATACAAATATTACGCAGCACAACTGTTTTCAATTTTGATAATGAGAAGAAATGTTTCTTGAGCACTATACCAGCATATTAAAATGATTTCTAAAGGATCATTTGTCACTGAAGACTGGACTAATAACTGCTGAACTTTGCTATCACAGGAATAAATTACATTTTAAGATAAATTCAAATGAAAAACGTTTACATTTTACATTCTAATAATTCACAATATTATTTAATGAATTTTACTGCATTTTTATATAATACAACCTTGGTAAGCATAAGAAACCTTTCAAAAGTGTATATTCAAGACACGGATTTCTGTCCTGGAGGGCCGGTGTCCTGCAGAGTTTAGCTCCAACTTGCCTTAACACACCTGCCGGGAAGTTCCTAGTATGCCTAGTAAGAGCTTGATTAGCTGGTTCAGGTGTGTTTAATTAGGGTTGGAGCTAAACTCTGCAGGACACCGGCCCTCCAGGACCGAGTTTGGGCACCCCTGTTTTAGTGGATTCATGTCCATTACACATCATATTTTCTATAACATCTACAGCTGGATCGCTTTCACTTTAAAGAAAATGTTCTTAAAAAAAAAAAAAGAGCTGTTTGTTTATTTGTTTGTTTATGCATACATGCTGATTAAATATTTGCAGCAATTAAAAAAATAATAATAAAATAAAATTCTCCAATCTTTTAAATCACCATTTTAAAAATCCTTGATATTTCCAGGACCATTTGAACCCTATATAGCCTATAGTTTTGATTATATATAATGTGATTTTGATTGAAAACTAACTACCATTCAAACGTTTGGAGTCAGCAATTGTTTTTGATAGAACATTAATACTTTTATTCCACAAGTATGCATTAAAATGATCAAAAGTGACAGTAATGACAATTTTACAATGTTAGAAAAAATATACAAATATTACGCAGCACAACTGTTTTCAATTTTGATAATGAGAAGAAATGTTTCTTGAGCACTATACCAGCATATTAAAATGATTTCTAAAGGATCATTTGTCACTGAAGACTGGACTAATAACTGCTGAACTTTGCTATCACAGGAATAAATTACATTTTAAGATAAATTCAAATGAAAAACGTTTACATTTTACATTCTAATAATTCACAATATTATTTAATGAATTTTACTGCATTTTTATATAATACAACCTTGGTAAGCATAAGAAACCTTTCAAAAGTGTATATTCAAGACACGGATTTCTGTAATTGTACTGAATTGAAATATTTTGACCGTCTTCAAGAAAAAAAATTAAAATAAAATAAAATAAACACTTGGTGTTACTAATGTAGTGTCAGAATTTTCATAACTTACATTCAGTTGATTCTCCTTGATCATTCCATTTCTCATTTTTCCAACAAAGACAGTTTATGACACCAGTACTGTCATCCACTGTGTGTTGAAGGAGAACAGACAAGAAATAGTAAGACCAGGTGCAACAAGTACCCATTTTTGAAGTGCAGTCCTGGGTCACTTTGATCCCAAGGCAAGGTAACACACAACCAAAGGCAAAATTACTACTACAAATTACGCAAATGCTAAAGTTAGGAAGTTGTGGCCTAATGGTTAGAAAGTCGGTCTCGTAACCCAAAAGTTGCGGGTTCGAGTCTCGGACTGGCAGGGATTGTAGGTGGGGGGGAGTGAATATACAGCACTCTCTCCCCCCTTCAATACTATGACTGAGGTGCTCTTGAGCAAGGCACTGCTCCCTGGGTGCCACAGCAAAAAAATGGCTGTCCACTGCTCCGGGTGTGTGTTCACTGCTGTGTGTGTGTGCACTTTGGATGGGATAAATGCAGAGCACTAATTCCGAGTATACTTGGCCACGTCACTTAAGTTTATGGAGGAACCCAAAAAAAAAAAAACTTCAACAGAACTTGACACTGACCACCATGCATTTTCGTTGCGTAACGAACGGGGGGAAAAAATGTGAAGAAAAAATCTAATTTATAACACATTATTTTATTTATTTATTTTTTACTTTTTATTTATTATTATTGTTTTATTCATTTTTAAACAAACTATAGACCTATTGAGGCAATGCTAAAATAAAATGTTTGCACTTGTATGTTGAAATATAAAAAAATTTATCAAATTCATGTTTTTCCAGACCTCCATAGCAGTAGAAATCTTCTCTCTCCCGCTTGTAAACAACCGTCCCCAGTACATCCACCTGGAAGAGTGGGTGAGTCTTGTAGAAATAAACTCCTACAAAACATCACATGCACATGTCAAATATGGGAGCTTTCTGGCACCATTATAAGAACAGACTCTTCTTATCTTTACATTATTATTTAAAACAGCAGCTGACAAAGAAACAAGTGGCTGACAAATAATGTGAATACTTCCCCGCTTATGCAAAAGTGCTGTAATATTTTTATTCCCGTGTAGTTGAAGATAAATCCAGTAAACAATATTAAAGGGGCCAAGGGTTAACGGCTTGATTTTACATTACCAGGTACTTGTCTGGACTCTTTCATCTGTAGTATGTCAGTGATGTAGAGTCTCGAGTATGCGGAGAACACGGGGTCCAGACCCCACAGCACAGACGGCAGCTCATCAGCATCAGCATCTGCGGGATTCACTGCCATCGGACCTCACTGACAAAACAAAGTTAAGCACCGAAAACTAAAAGAAGCATAAACACGGCAGCAAATCTGCGCGCTTATGAAGTGATCTTGATTCAACTTAACTTGTTTTTTACTAAATGCCAAAGCAACAAGAAATAAATAATGCTGGAGCTTGATGAACGCACGGAATCGTGTTTGTTTTTCCGCTCTCTGCGCAGTTGACTCACTGCGCACATAGGAAGGAACTACGCTAAGCTCCTGAATATTAATTAGGTTACGTGATAGGACGCTCAAGGAAGGTGACACATAAACGTAAATATAGGGGAAATAAGCCTGTTTTTAAATTTGAAAGAAATTCAAAAGTATATATATAAAAAAAATTCTTTAAAAAAGTAAGCAGTAAAATGTGTTGCTATTTGTAAACATTTAAATGTTTGTATTTAACTTTATTTTTATTCATGTGTTTGTTTGTTTACTTACGTTTTTTAAACCTAATAATGTTACTATCTGAAAGAAAAATAATAATAATATTGAAGGAGGGACTTCGTAGAAAACGAAGAGTTTGAGAGAGGCGGGGCATAGAGGACCTACAATAATGTACAGTATTTAAAAAATAATGTGTTTTTTGAACATTAAAGCATGTCAACATATTCTGTTAAACCAAATACACAAAATAATGATCTTTAAAAAAGCATCATATGACCCCTTTAAATAATAAAGGGGGAGGGGACAGTATACGGGTGACCAGGCGAGGGCGCCACGCATCTAGTGAAAGCAAATGTTCTCCAAAAGCGAAGAGCTCCAAAGTTTATGACAGGAAGTCACAACCGGTGAGAATGAAGCATCATTTTACAACACCGCGTTTAACAGAGTTTTGAAAAGTTGGTTAGATCTCGTCTCCATGATGAGTATTTTAAAGAAAACATTTGTTCCCTGACCGGGAATCGAACCCGGGCCGCGGCGGTGAGAGCGCCGAATCCTAACCACTAGACCACCAGGGAGCGCTGATTAAGCTGCGCTCTCGTCTGTCTTTTAGAGCAACTCAGGTCAAACTGTGTTTGAAATACACCCATTCACTTCTGGATTTTACAGAGCATTGGGTCTCGTGAAACACTGTGCAGTAAGATTACAGTTTCGGATTGCTTTTCCTCTTTAGTCTTTACCATCCACAAGTCTTGAAATATGGGCTAGAGATCTTTCTTTCTGACAAGCTTGCAGGTTTAAGCTAGCTGTCCCCCAATCTGGCCAAGCCAGTGCCCAAAACCCCTTTAAAACCAGCTAATAATAAGACCATGAGAGGCCTTTGACCTTTTTTTTTTGTGTAACAGCAGGGTGGTTCTAGATGCTCACTTTTTCATATTTCAGTTATCTAAACCCATTTATGTGTTTTGAAATTTGCTGAGTCAGACCTGTAAAGCTGAGAGAAGTGCTGACTCACCCTACCTTTGAGATTCCTTTGTAAAACTGTCCTATTATTCTGGAGAGAGGTGGACAGTTTCCTCATCGTCTCAGAGCAGAGGCGTCCCAATCTGTATCAGGTCACTGTAACATCGTAAACAGTGATAAAAGACTGATATTTGCAATAAGAGTGATAGCTGCATCTGATGGGAGAGGAGTGCATAGAAATTGGCCATAAATGCAGCTGTCAAATATTGATGTGAACTCACTGACCCAAAACTCTCACCCAGTGGCGGCTCGTCCGGGGAGGCACAGCTTCCCCAAAAATTTGAGGTGAAAAAGGGAAGACGATTTAATGTTAATAATATTCACAGTTCATTTCAGTTCATGTCTCAGAATGTGTATTTTTTGTTTGTAATTTCACAGCTGTAATACCATAACATGTTAATGAAGTTGGAAAGCGGCGCTTTTCTATCGCGAATGTGTCTTCTGTGTCAGTTGCGCTGCACGGATGCTCTGTTTTCGTTCAAATACAGGTAGAAAATGTATCCTTGTGCTTGCCTTCAGCAGATATTCTCCAAAATGGCGCTACAATGATGTGGAGAGACACAGAGAAGACGAATTGTTGAATAAAGTCGTTATTTTTGTTTTCTTCGCGTACAAAAAGTATTCTTGTCGCTTCATAACGTTATGGTTGAACCACTGATGGTAGATGGACTATTCTGACGGATGTCTTTCATACTTTTCTGGACCTTGACAGTGTCATTTACTTGGCAGTCAATCGGACAGTCACAAGCCTCCCGGTTTTCATCCAAAATATCTTAAATTGTGTTCCGAAGATGGACAAAGCTTTTAGGGGTTTGGAACGACATGGGGGTAAGTGATTAATGACAAAATTTTCATTTTGGGGTGCAGTGTCCCTTTAACACAGACTTTTAAAGGGATAGTTCACCCAAAAAATAAAATTTGATGTTTATCTTCTTACCCCCAGGGCATCCAAGATGTAGGTGACTTTAACGTAAACTATGCCAGAGCGCGTGAGGTGTGTACGCACTCTGGCATAGTTTATGTTAATAGGTGTGTTGATATCCAGCCGAAGAGCAATCAACCATAACTTCAGGCGAGCAGGCTCAGAAGTTGGGAATACGTGGAAAGTCACCACTCCCGAA